CTCGGAAAACGATAAACACCGGCAGTCTTTGACAATTCACGCTTGCTCACATCAGGCAACGAAAAACGGCGGACAACCTTTATTGCCTCCCCTACAATATAAACCTTGAACAGCACGCCTCCTACCATTAAAATTAAAAGTTAATTAAATAGCGAATTAAACTTATTTTGGGTTCCTCCATGCAGAACATTATAAAGTTACTGAAGAAAACCACGTTAACTACACACACACACACGCACTAATTCTCACCGTGATTAATGAATTCTTGCAGAACTAGTGGGGGTTCGAGCTTCTGTAGGGAGAACTCGTCATAGGCAAGAGACAGCTCATGGGACTTCGCGACCAAAGGCTTTGCCACTGAATTACATAAATTCAGTCAAATATGGCCCAAAAAAAACATTGAACTACTAAATTTGAATACATAGGTTTGAATTGAATTCTCAAACCAAAGAGGAGAACATCCAAAAAAGAAATGAATGCTTCCAGAACAGCTTATTTCTTTGCATTAAAAGCATACTAAATATACTGATAGTTGGAAGTGTACATAGAAAATATACCAATCGGTAGTCTCAGCCCAGCCTTGTTAACCGCCCCAGGAATAGATGATGGATCTTTCTTGATGACCAACTGTTTAGGGACACTGACTTTTCCTGAACATCAGATGCATTTGAAACCCAATTTCATTTATATGTGTTATAACTGTACATTTTTTGGTGTAGTCAACAAAATAAATGACGTGCTTGTATTGCTGGAAGAGAGCAGGGAAATATGTAATTAGACCTCAAACGTAATAAACCTCATTCTTGTCTTACCCACATAAAACAAATAAACATTGTGAACTGTAGTACTCAACTGTAAACAAAAGTTCAACAAAGGCCTAATACTCAAAGGTGTAAAAATATAAGAAAATTACCATAGGTATCTGCCAGATTCAGGTCAGCAACATCTTGGAGCATGGATTGACGATTGTACACTTGCTGTATAGCATCAGGAGGATCAAGAACTGTTACTTCTGGATGTGCTTTCCGGTAATCCTATGAAGAAAGAGATCAAAGTAAAATTATAAAATGACAACAAATTAAGCACGTTCAATCTTCAGCGAAGCAGAGCTGA